CATCCGTAGCAACAGTGTATGCAACCACATTATCGTTCCTTCCTTTGGTTAATTTATTGACGAAGATCGAGATATATAATATGGTGGAATGTGGAATGACAACTGTGGTGGGATTTTTGATTTCGATGGCAGGTGCGGAACCCAATATGCATCACATGGTATTGGTAGGAGTAGGATGGGGTTTAAAAATTTTCAAAGACATTTTTTACTACCTCCACGAGGAAATTGGGTTTGGTGATTGGATGTATGACTTGGTGGTTGGATGTTTAGTTGGATGAATGAGCTGGTGTAGTTCGTTTATTCAGTCTGTAGAATGCTCTAGTTTTTTTTTTTTTTAATTTCAGTTCCTTGTTGTAAGAAGTCTCCTTGTATAATTACAAGGGTAAGGTCTGCGTATAACTGACCCTCAGACCCCAACCTGTTGGGAATATACTGGGTATGTTGTTGTTCCTTGTTGTAAGAAATGAGCCATTTGGTTTAATGCAAAAATTTGTTCGTTTTTTTTTTTTTCTTTTATCATGTATTTTTATTTCCTACACTTTAATTTAAATTGATAACTAAGTAACAATTTGTGCATTATAAATTTTATAAATTAGTCAATTAGATTGTGGCACAAAAAATATAGGAACTAATTGAAACTTATGTAAATATTTTTTCTGGTTAAGCCTTGCAACAATAAAGATTGTTTATAGTTGCACGAGATTGGCTCACAAGAGGATAGTTTTTTATTAAAGTAGACAACATATACATGCATCTAGGAGATAATGTCTATTTTTTAAAACGAAACACAATTTTATAAAAGTCCAGCATGCACAGCGAATTTAAAATAGACACAACTTTCAGCACATAAGTCATATAAGCATGATTCCATTGGCATTTGAATTCTAAGTCATGCACCTACAACTTTAGTTTAGCTCACAAAAGCATATAATGTCATTTAGGTAGTGAAATAAAAGCTAACTTCTGAAACTAAGATGCTACCTGAAAACTGATTCTAACTCATGCGTTGTTTTACTAAAACGAGTACAACTCACTGATCAGTACATATTTTCAACTGGTTCTTGAATATTTTGAAAGCTAACAATTTGGAATACAACTTTCATGAAAATCATAGTTGCAAATAAATTCATTTAACAGGTGATAAACCGATAAACATTCACATCATGATTTCTGCCATAAAACGAAACATCTTATATAGAAACTCAGTAATTCATGCATATTTCGAGCTATGATCATGATAAAAATATGATTCAAGTACCAATAGAAAGCTAAGGAACAATGATATAACGTTCATGAAGACAACTATAGCAAATAAGGTTATTTGATCACATATTGTTCAGGAAACATGTAAATCAAGGTCGCAGTCCAAAACAGAAAATAATCAGCTTACAGAGTCTCAGTAAATTGAATATATTATACGCTATAGGCATCCAAATAACATGATTCAAAAACCACTGGAAAGCTAACAGAACAATCTACAACTTTTATGTTGAACACTTTCACATTCGAGCACGTTTGATACCCGTACACAGACCATACAATAATTACATGTTCTCAGTCACGATTTCATAAAACTGGGTGCACAACAATTTTGTAAAACTCATAACAAATTCATTTTAAATTCTTTTTCCAAGCCACAGAAAGATAACATAACATACCTTATTTCATAAGAACTTTTCTCCAAAAACGGGTTCTTGAAGGTCAAAACAGAGGCACAAACAGCGACTCGAAACAGTGATTTTTCATGCAATTCATAGAGAAACTTCATCAATTAAATCCCTATTCATAAACCACTCAATTAAAAACCCTAAAACATAATTTCTAGCATATCATAACATAAACCTCAACAAGAATTTCCAGCTTTTAACCAAATAACATAAACATGCTTGAACATCAATATATCACATAATCCTTATCTCATATGTTAGAGATAATCAAGTATATATGGGATGTAAAATATAATGTTGATGGGGAGAGAGGATTGAAGTTAAATATGGAATGATCAATCCCTCGTTACAATTAATTTAAGGGATGAGTTTCTTATATTTAAAATTCCCATTTATGTGTAATTATGTTTTTCAAACTCGTAAAGCATCAATACTCTTACCAAAAATGCCATATGATTAAAAAAATAAAAATAAAAAAAAAATCAGCTCTATAAATGAGGCACTCATGATTTTATTTTTCAGCACCAAAATATAAAAAATCATCAATCAAAACAAGAAAAGAAAAGATGTCTCACAATACTCCATATGCGTTTCCTACCATCTCGCTCTTCTCGAAACCCAAATCCTACAGAAACCCAAGCTCGTGGCCCAAATCCTAACAGACCAACTCAACTCCACGAACTAGGACTTCTAAAAGCTCTTCTCGAAACCCAAATCTCCGGCCCCAGAAGTTGGAATCCAAATTCATCACGAGGAAAATATACCCTCCCTCACCCACGCTCGACGGATCGGTTGGTTGTCGTTATTTCTGTTTTCGTCATCGATTGCCGTAGGGTTTTTTTTACTCCTCAAAGATAACGAGCTCCGAAAATGGGTATTTGACAACGTTAAAGTACCAAGGAAGTGGAAAATTCAAAATAGGAATTTGTGGAAAGAAAAGAAAATGTGTTGTTGCCAAAAATACTATCAAGGTCAAACGGACTTGAAACCATTGTTTGATGCCACCATGATGGCCTTTGTAGCTCTAATCATGATTTCCAAAAAGATCAAAACAAATCGTGCATCCATAGCAACAATGTATGCAACCACATTATCATTCCTTCCTTTGATCAATTTATTAACCAAGATCGAGATATATAATATGGTGGAATGTGGAATGACAACTGTGGTGAGATATTTGATTTCGATGGCAGGTGCGGAACCCAATATGCACCCCATGGTATTGGTAGGAGTGGGATTGGGTTTAAAAATTTTCTATGACATTTTTTACTACCTCCACGAGGAAATTGGGTTTGGTGATTGGATGGATGACTTGGTGGTTGGATGTTTAGTTGGATGAATGAGCTGGTGTAGTTCGTTTGTTCAGTCTGTAGGATGCTCTAGTTTTTTTTACTTTTTTTTTTTTAATTTCAGTTCCTTGTTGTAAGAAGCCTCCTTGTACAATTACAAGGGTAAGGTCTGCGTACAACTGACCCCCTATACCCCAACCTGTTGGGAATATACTGGGTATGTTGTTGTTGTTGTTGTTGTTGTTCCTTGTATTAAGAAATGAGTCATTTGGTTTAATACAAAATTGTGTTCTTTTTTTTTTCTTTTATCATGTATTTTTATTTCCTACAATTTAATTTAAATTGATAACTAAGTAACAATTTGTGCATTATAAATTTTATAAATTAGTCAATTAGAATATGGCACAAAAAATATAGGAACTAATTGAAAGTTATGTAAATATTTTTTTCTGGTTAAGCCTTGCAACAATAAAGATTGTTTATAGTTGCACGAGATTGGCTCACAAGAGGATAGTTTTTTATTAAAGTAGACAACATATACATGCATCTAGGAGATAATGTCTATTTTTTAAAACGAAACACAATTTTATAAAAGTCCAGCATGCACAGCGAATTTAAAATAGACACAACTTTCAGCACATAAGTCATATAAGCATGATTCCATTGGCATTTGAATTCTAAGTCATGCACCTACAACTTTAGTTTAGCTCACAAAAGCATATAATATCATTTAGGTAGTGAAATAGAAGCTAACTTCTGAAACTAAGATGCTACCTGAAAACTGATTCTAACTCATGCGTTGTTTTACTAAAACGAGTACAACTGACTGATCAGTACATATTTTCAACAGGTTCTTGAATATTTTGAAAGCTAACAATTTGGAATACAACTTTCATGAAAATCATAGTTGCAAATAAATTCATTTAACAGGTGATAAACCGATAAACATTCACATCATGATTTCTGCCATAAAACGAAACATCTTATATAGAAACTCAGTAATTCATGCATATTTCGAGCTATGATCATGATAAAAATATGATTCAAGTACCAATAGAAAGCTAAGGAACAATGATATAACGTTCATGAACACAACTATAGCAAATAAGGTTATTTGATCACATATTGTTCAGGAAACATGTAAATCAAGGTCGCAGTCCAAAACAGAAAATAATCAGCTTACAGAGTCTCAGTAAATTGAATATATTATACGCTATAGGCATCCAAATAACATGATTCAAAAACCACTGGAAAGCTAACAGAACAATCTACAACTTTTATGTTGAACACTTTCACATTCGAGCACGTTTGATACCCGTACACAGACCATACAATAATTACATGTTCTCAGTCACGATTTCATAAAACTGGGTGCACAACAATTTTGTAAAAGTCATAACAAATTCATTTTAAATTCTTTTTCCAAGCCACAGAAGATAACATAACATACCTTATTTCATAAGAACTTTTCTCCAAAAACGGGTTTTTGAAGGTCAAAACAGAGGCACAAACAGCGACTCGAAACAGTGATTTTTCATGCAATTCATAGAGAAACTTCATCAATTAAATCCTTATTCATAAACCACTCAATTAAAAACCCTAAAACATGATTTCTAGCATATCATAACATAAACCTCAACAAGAATTTCCAGCTTTTAACCAAATAACATAAACATGCTTGAACATCAATATATCACATAATCCTTATCTCATATGTTAGAGATAATCAAGTATATATGGGATGTAAAATATAATGTTGATGGGAAGAGAGGATTGAAGTTAAATATGGAATGATCAATCCCTCGTTACAATTAATTTAAGGGATGAGTTTCTTATATTTAAAATTCCCATTTATGTGTAATTATGTTTTTCAAACTCGTAAAGCATCAATACTCTTACCAAAAATGCCATATGATTAAAAAAATAAAAATAAAAAAAAAATCAGCTCTATAAATGAGGCACTCATGATTTTATTTTTCAGCACCAAAATATAAAAAATCATCAATCAAAACAAGAAAAGAAAAGATGTCTCACAATACTCCATATGCGTTTCCTACCATCTCGCTCTTCTCGAAACCCAAATCCTACAAAAACCCAAGCTCGTGGCCCAAATCCTAACAGACCAACTCAACTCCACGAACTAGGACTTCTAAAAGCTCTTCTCGAAACCCAAATCCCCCAAAAATTCAAGCTCAACATCGAATCCAAATTCCGGCCCCAGAAGCTAGAATCCAAATTCATTACGAGGAAAATATACCCCCTCACCCACGCTCTGTCGACGGATCGGTTGGTTGTCATTATTTCTATTTTCGTCATCGATTGCCGTAGGGTTTTCTTTACTCCTCAAAGATAACGATCTCCGAAAATGGGTATTTGACGACGTTAAAATACCAAGGAAGTGGAAAATTTCCATTTTGGCATGTCCGTACAAAATTGTCATATGTTTTATTATATCTATGAAATTTATCTTCAAAATCAGAATTTGTGAAAAGAAAAGAAAATGTCTTGTTGTAAAAAATACTATCAAGGTCAAACGGACTTGAAACCATTGTTTGATGCCACCATGATGGCCTTTGTAGCTCTAATCATGATTTCCAAAAAGATCAAAACAAATCGTGCATCCGTAGCAACAGTGTATGCAACCACATTATCGTTCCTTCCTTTGGTTAATTTATTGACGAAGATCGAGATATATAATATGGTGGAATGTGGAATGACAACTGTGGTGGGATTTTTGATTTCGATGGCAGGTGCGGAACCCAATATGCATCACATGGTATTGGTAGGAGTAGGATGGGGTTTAAAAATTTTCAAAGACATTTTTTACTACCTCCACGAGGAAATTGGGTTTGGTGATTGGATGTATGACTTGGTGGTTGGATGTTTAGTTGGATGAATGAGCTGGTGTAGTTCGTTTATTCAATCTGTAGAATGCTCTAGTTTTTTTTTTTTTTTTTTTTTTTTTAATTTCAGTTCCTTGTTGTAAGAAGCCTCCTTGTACAATTACAAGGGTAAGGTCTGCGTACAACTGACCCCCTATACCCCAACCTGTTGGGAATATACTGGGTATGTTGTTGTTGTTGTTGTTGTTGTTCCTTGTATTAAGAAATGAGTCATTTGGTTTAATACAAAATTGTGTTCTTTTTTTTTTCTTTTATCATGTATTTTTATTTCCTACACTTTAATTTAAATTGATAACTAAGTAACAATTTGTGCATTATAAATTTTATAAATTAGTCAATTAGAATGTGGCACAAAAAATATAGGAACTAATTGAAAGTTATGTAAATATTTTTTCTGGTTAAGCCTTGCAACAATAAAGATTGTTTATAGTTGCACGAGATTGGCTCACAAGAGGATAGTTTTTTATTAAAGTAGACAACATATACATGCATCTAGGAGATAATGTCTATTTTTTAAAACGAAACACAATTTTATAAAAGTCCAGCATGCACAGCGAATTTAAAATAGACACAACTTTCAGCACATAAGTCATATAAGCATGATTCCATTGGCATATGAATTCTAAGTCATGCACCTACAACTTTAGTTTAGATCACAAAAGCATATAATGTCATTTAGGTAGTGAAATAGAAGCTAACTTCTGAAACTAAGATGCTGCCTGAAAACTGATTCTAACTCATGCGTTGTTTTACTAAAACGAGTACAACTCACTGATCAGTACATATTTTCAACTGGTTCTTGAATATTTTGAAAGCTAACAATTTGGAATACAACTTTCATGAAAATCATAGTTGCAAATAAATTCATTTAACAGGTGATAAACCGATAAACATTCACATCATGATTTCTGCCATAAAACGAAACATCTTATATAGAAACTCAGTAATTCATGCATATTTCGAGCTATGATCATGATAAAAATATGATTCAAGTACCAATAGAAAGCTAAGGAACAATGATACAACGTTCATGAAGACAACTATAGCAAATAAGGTTATTTGATCACATATTGTTCAGGAAACATGTAAATCAAGGTCGCAGTCCAAAACAGAAAATAATCAGCTTACAGAGTCTCAGTAAATTGAATATATTATACGCTATAGGCATCCAAATAACATGATTCAAAAACCAGTGGAAAGCTAACAGATCAATCTACAACTTTTATGTTGAACACTTTCACATTCGAGCACGTTTGATATCCGTACACAGACCATACAATAATTAAATATTCTCAGTCACGATTTCATAAAACTAGGTGCACAACAATTTTGTAAAACTCATAACAAATTCATTTTAAATTCTTTTTCCAAGCCACAGAAAGATAACATAACATACCTTATTTCATAAGAACTTTTCTCCAAAAACGGGTTCTTGAAGGTCAAAACAGAGGCACAAACAACGACTCGAAACAGTGATTTTTCATGCAATTCATAAAGAAACTTCATCAATTAAATCCCTATTCATAAACCACTCAATTAAAAACCCTAAAACATGATTTCTAGCACATCATAACATAAACCTCAACAAGAATTTCCAGCTTTTAACCAAATCACATAAACATGCTTGAACATCAATATATCACATAATTCTTATCTCATATGTTAGAGATAATCAAGTATATATGGGATGTAAAATATAATGTTGGTGGGGAGAGAGGATTGAAGTTAAATATGGAATGATCAATTCCTCGTTACAATTAATTTAAGGGATGAGTTTCTTATATTTAAAATTCCCATTTATGTGTAATTAAGTTTTTCAAACTCGTAAAGCATCAATACTCTTACCAAAAGTGCCATATGATTAAAAAAAATAAAAATATAAATATAAATCAGTTCTATAAATGAGGCACTCATGATTTTATTTTCACCACCAAAATATATAAAATCATCAATCAAAACAAGAAAAGAAAAGATGTCTCACAATACTCCATAGGCGTTTCCTACCATCTCGCTCTTCTCGAAACCCAAGCTCGTGGCCCAAATCCTAACAGACCAACTCAAGTCCACGAACTAGGACTTCTAACAGCTCTTCTCGAAACCCAAATCCCCCAGAAATCCAAGCTCAACATCGAATCCAAATTCCGGCCCCAGAAGTTGGAATCCAAATTCATCACGAGGAAAATATACCCCCTCACCCACGCTCTGTCGACGGATCGGTTGGTTGTCATTATTTCTGTTTTCGTCATCGATTGCCGTAGGGTTTTCTTTACTCCTCAAAGATAACGATCTCCGAAAATGGGTATTTTACGACGTTAAAATACCAAGGAAGTGAAAAATTGCCATTTTGGCATGTCCGTACATAATTGTCATATGTTTTATAATATCTATGACATTTATCTTCAAAATCAAAATTTGTGAAAAGAAAAGAAAATGTCTTGTTGCCAAAAATACTATCAAGGCCAAACGGACTTGAAACCATTGTCTGATGCCACCATGATGGCCTTTGTAGCTCTAATCATGATTTCCAAAAAGATCAAAACAAATCGTGCATCCGTAGCAACAGTGTATGTAACCACATTATCGTTCCTTCCTTTGGTCAATTTATTGACGAAGATCGAGATATATAATATGGTGGAATGTGGAATGACAACTGTGGTGGGATTTTTGATTTCGATGGCAGGTGCGCAACCCAATATGCATCCCATGGTATTGGTAGGAGTGGGATGGGGTTTAAAAATGTTTAAAGACATTTTTTACTACCTCCACGAAGAAATTGGGTTTGGTAATTGCATGTATGACTTGGTGGTTGGATGTTTAGTTGGATGAATGAGCTGATGTAATTCGTTTGTTCAGTCTGTAGGATGCTCTAGTTTTTTTTTTTTTTAATTTCAGTTCCTTGTTGTAAGAAGTCTCCTTGTATAATTACAAGGGTAAGGTCTGCGTATAACTGACCCTCAGACCCCAACCTGTTGGGAATATACTGGGTATGTTGTTGTTCCTTGTTGTAAGAAATGAGCCATTTGGTTTAATGCAAAAATTTGTTCGTTTTTTTTTTTTTCTTTTATCATGTATTTTTATTTCCTACACTTTAAATTAAATTGATAACTAAGTAAGAATTTGTGCACTATAAATTTTATAAATCAGTCAATTAGAATGTGGCACAAAATATATAGGAACTAATTGAAAGTTATGTAAATTTTTTTATTCAGGTTAAGCCTTGCAACAATAAAGATTGTTTATAGTTGCACGAGATTGGCTCACAAGAGGATAGTTTTTTATTCAAGTAGGCCACATATACATGCATCTAGGAGATAATGTCTATTTTTTAAAACGAAACACAATTTTATAAAAGTCCAGCATGCACAGTGAATTTAAAATTGACACAACTTTCAGCACATAAGTCATATAAGCATGATTCCATTGGCATATGAATTCTAAGTCATGGACCTACAACTTTAGTTTAGTTCACAAAAGCATATAAGGTCATTCAGGTAGTGAAATAGAAGCTAACTTCCGAAACTAAGATGCTGCCTGAAAACTGATTCTAACTCATGCGTTGCTTTACTAAAACGAGTACAACTCAGTGATCAGTACATATTTTCAACTGGTTCTTGAATATTCTGAAAGCTAACAATTCGGAGTACAACTTTCATGAAGATCATAGTTGCAAATAAATTCATTTAACAGGTGATAAACCGATAAACATTCAGATCATGATTTCTGCCATAAAGCGGAAAACATCTTATACAGGAACTCAGTAATTCATGCATATCTCGAGCTATGATCATGATAAAAATATGATTCAAGTACCAACAAAAAGCTAAGGAACAATGATATAACGTTCATCAAGACCACTATAGCAAATAAGGTTATTTGATCACATATTGTTCAGGAAACATGTAAATCAAGGTAGCAGTCCAAAACAGAAAATAATCAGCTTACAGAGTCTCAGTAAATTGAGTATATTATAAGCTATAGGCATCCAAATAACATGATTCAAAAACCACTGGAAAGCTAACACGACTATCTACAACGTTTATGTTGAACACTTTCACATTCGAGCACGTTTGTTATCCGTACACAGACCATACTATAATTACATGTTCTCAGTCACGATTTCATAAAACTGGGTGCACAACAATTTTGTAAAACTCATAACAAATTCATTTTAAATTCTTTTTCCAAGATTCCAAAAGTCACAGAAAGATAACATAACATACCTTATTTTATAAGAACTTTTCTCCAAAAACGGGTTCTTGAAGGTCAAAACATGAGGCACAAACAGCGACTCGAAACAGTGATTTTTCATGCTATTCATAGAGAAACTTCATCAATTAAATCCCTATTCATAAACCACTCAATTAAAAACCCTAAAACATGATTTCTAGCATATCATAACATAAACATCAACAAGAATTTCCAGCTTTTAACCAAATAACATAAACATGCTTGAACATCAATATATCACATAATCCTTATCTCATATGTTAGAGATAATCAAGTATATATGGGATGTAAAATATAATGTTGATGGGGAGAGAGGATTGAAGTTAAATATGGAATGATCAATCCCTCGTTACAATTAATTTAAGGGATGAGTTTCTTATATTTAAAATTCCCATTTATGTGTAATTATGTTTTTCAAACTCGTAAAGCATCAATACTCTTACCAAAAGTGCCATATGATTAAAAAAATTAAAATAAAAATAAAAATCAGCTCTATAAATGAGGCACTCATGATTTTATTTTTCAGCACCAAAATATAAAAAATCATCAATCAAAACAAGAAAAGAAAAGATGTCTCACAATACACCATATGCGTTTCCTACCATCTCGCTCTTCTCGAAACCCAAATCCCACAGAAACCCAAGCTCGTGGCCCAAATCCTAACAGACCAACTCAACTCCACGAACTAGGACTTCTAACAGCTCTTCTCGAAACCCAAATCCCCCAGAAATCCAAGCTCAACATCGAATCCAAATTCCGGCCCCAGAAGCTGGAATCCAAATTCATCACGAGAAAAATATACCCCCTCACCCACGCTCTGTCGACGGATCGGTTGGTTGTCATTATTTCTATTTTCATCATCGATTGCCGTAGGGTTTTCTTTACACCTCAAAGATAACGAGCTCCGAAAATGGGTATTTGACGACGTTAAAATACCAAGGAAGTGGAAAATTTCCATTTTGGCATGTCCGTACAAAATTGTCATATGTTTTATTATATCTATGACATTTATCTTCAAAATCAGAATTTGTGAAAAGAAAAGAAAATGTCTTGTTGCAAAAAATACTATCAAGGTCAAACGGACTTGAAACCATTGTTTGATGCCACCATGATGGCCTTTGTAGCTCGAATCATGATTTCCAAAAAGATCAAAACAAATCGTGCATCCGTAGCAACAGTGTATGCAACCACATTATCGTTCCTTCCTTTGGTCAATTTATTGACGAAGATCGAGATATATAATATGGTGGAATGTGGAATGACAACTGTGGTGGGATTTTTGATTTCGATGGCAGGTGCGGAACCCAATATGCATCACATGGTATTGGTAGGAGTGGGATGGGGTTTAAAAATTTTCAAAGACATTTTTTACTACCTCCACGAGGAAATTGGGTTTGGTGATTGGATGTATGACTTGGTGGTTGGATGTTTAGTTGGATGAATGAGCTGGTGTAGTTCGTTTGTTCAATCTGTAGAATGCTCTAGTTTTTTTTTTTTTTAATTTCAGTTCCTTGTTGTAAGAAGNTTTCAGTTCCTTATTGTAAGAAGCCTCCTTGTATAATTACAAGGGTAAGGTCTGCGTACAACTGACCCCCTATACCCCGACCTGTTGGGAAAATACTGGGTATGTTGTTGTTGTTGTTGTTGTTGTTGTTGTTGTTCCTTGTATTAAGAAATGAGCCATTTGGTTTAATACAAAATTGTGTTCTTTTTTTTTCTTTTATCATGTATTTTTATTTCCTACACTTTAAATTAAATTGATAACTAAGTAAGAATTCTTGTACTATAAATTTTATAAATTAGTCAATTAGAATGTGGCACGAAAAATATAGGAACTAATTGAAAGTTATGTAAATTTTTTTATTCTGGTTAAGCCTTGCAACAATAAAGATTGTTTATAGTTGCACGAGATTGGCTCACAAGAGGATAGTTTTTTATTCAAGTAGGCCACATATACATGCATCTAGGAGATAATGTCTATTTTTTAAAACGAAACACAATTTTATAAAAGTCCAGCATGCACAGGGAATTTAATATAGACACAACTTTCAGCACATAAGTCATATAAGCATGATTCCATTGGCATATGAATTCTAAGTCATGCACCTACAACTTTAGTTTAGCTCACAAAAGCATATAAGGTCATTCAGGTAGTGAAATAGAAGCTAATTTCCGAAACTAAGATGCTGCCTGAAAACTGATTCTAACTCATGCGTTGTTTTACTAAAACGAGTACAAGTCACTGATCAGTAAATATTTTCAACTGGTTCTTGAATATTCTGAAAGCTAACAATTTGAAATACAACTTTCATTAAAATCATAGTTGTAAATAAATTCATTTAACAGGTGATAAACCGATAAACATTCAGATCATGATTTCTGCCATAAGACGGAAAACATCTTATACAGGAACTCAGTAATTCATGCATATCTCGAGCTATGATCATGATAAAAATATGATTAAGATACCAATAGAAAGCTAAGGAACAACGATATAATGTTCATGAAGACCACTATAGCAAATAAGGTTATTTGATCACATATTGTTCCGGAAACATGTAAATCAAGGTCGCAGTCCAAAACAGAAAATAATCAGCAAATAGAGTCTCAGTAAATTGAATATATTATAAGCTATAGGCATCCAAATAACATGATTCAAGAACCACTGGAAAGCTAACACAACAATCTACAACGTTTATGTTGAACACTTTCAGATTCGAGCACGTTTGATACCCGTACACAGACCATACAATAATTACATGTTCTCAGTCACGATTTCATAAAACTGGGTGCACAACAATTTTGTAAAACTCATAACAAATTCATTTTAAATTCTTTTTCCAAGATTCCAAAAGCCACAGAAAGATAACATAACATACCTTATTTCATAAGAACTTTTCTCCAAAAACGGGTTCTTGAAGGTCAAAACATGAGGCACAAACAGCTACTCGAAATAGTGATTTTTCATGCAATTCATAGAGAAACTTCATCAATTAAATCCCTATTCATAAACCACTCAATTAAAAACCCTAAAACATGATTTCTAGCATATCATAACATAAACCTCAACAAGAATTTCCAGCTTTTAACCAAATCACATAAACATGCTTGAACATCAATATATCACATAATCCTTATCTCATACTCAACTAATCATGCTTCAAATTAACATGAACTTCATCAACTTATCATATCTCACATTATCATTCATATAACCTCAACATATATATTTTAAGCAAACATAATTCTTCAATTACTACGACTTTAAAGGTCTTTTAAACACTAAATCCAAGATCAAACTTGGTCTACTTATTAATCACATAAAAACATTAACTCTCTTAATCTCTTTATTAAACTATAATAGCAAACACGAACATTGTTCGAACGTAAACGAACACGAGCTCGAACAACCTAAGCTCGGTTCAGTTCAGTTCGTTTACAGCACAACAAAACCAAGAGGCAGTGCCTCCACCCATTGAAACACAAAACTGCGGGTGGTTTGGATTATTTTTGGTCTCTTCAAGCATAGGCCTCACATTTTTGTTAGCCCCTCACGAAAACCAATTCAGAAATTTGTTGTGTACGCCATTGGGAAAAATACCCAATACTTTGAAAGTTTCTGTTGTGGTGTGTCTTTATTTAGTTTCTGTTGCTTTTTTAGGGATTGTGACATTATATTACAAAATTGGTTTGTGTGGACAAACAAGAAAATTGAGGAAAGAAAATACCATCAAAGTAAAATGGTATGTGAAACCGTTCGTTGATTCAATTGTGGTTCTAACGGTAGGGTTAATAATGATTTCGAAAAAAATAAAAGAAGATTCCTTCTCTGATATATTCCGCCACGTTGTCATGTATTCCGACTGTCAATTTATTGACAAAAATGGAAGTCTACAACATGGTAGAATGTGGGATTGCCATTACGGTAGGGTTTTTGGTTTCCCTTGCAGGTTCTATGCGCAACATCAATCCAACAATACTGGTCTTTATTGGATTTGGCTTAAAAATTGTCAAAGACATACTCGACCATGTGAACGAGAAGATAGGGTTTGGTTGGGTAAGGACGAAGTTTGATGAGATGAAAGATTGAATGAGTTGTTTTTGTACTTTTCTTAATCCCATTTCCCTCCGTATGTAGAGCATGTTTAACTTTTTTTTTGGTTATTATGTTATATTTTGGCTAAAATCTTGAAGAAAAACAGAGAATGTTATGATTTTAATGTTTTGGCATGTATTATGGATTTTAATGTTGCTATTGTGCTCAACTATCAAGGTTTAAAACTCAGTTTAAAGGGTATTAAAGGCATGCTAGATTTAGTTAAAAAGTGAAGAAAAGTTAAGATTGATTTATTAGCTATGTGATCGTGTGTACCTAGAGCCGTCAATTTGGCCCGCGGGGCGGGGCGGGCTAGCTCGCTTATGTAAAATAGAATATTAATATACATGTATTGAAACTAGGTCATGACATAACCCTCAACAAAATAAAAAAATGTCTAGCCATACACTCTATGTCATTCCTCCTACTCCCTCAACAGCCCCCGCCCAACCACATCATGAAATCCAACTCCAGGTGGCAAATCTCGAACAACAAATCCAAGAGGCAGTCCCTTCACCCACGGAAACACAAAAATTCGGGTGGTTTGCGTTATTTTTTGTCTCTTCAGCCAAAAGCATCACATTTTTGTTAGCCCCCCACAAAAACCAGCTCAGAAAAGTGTTGTTTAAGCCCTTTGAAAAAATACCGAATGGTGCGAAAGTTGTCGTTCTGATGTGTATGTATGTACTGTTTGTTGCTTTTATAGGGATTTTGGCATTAAATTACAAAATTAGTTTGTTGGGAGAAAGAAAGAAAAAATTGGTTAAAGAAATTACCATAAAAGTAAGATGGTATTTGAAACCATATGTTGATGCTATCGTGGTTCTCGTGGTAGGCTTAATCATGATTTCGGAAAAAATAAGAAAAGACCCCTTCTCCGTAACTACCATATATTCAGCCACGCTTTCATGTATTCTGGTTATCAATTTATTGACAAATATTGAAGTATACAATATGGTAGAATGTGGGATAGCCAGTAATACTGGTCGTAATCAGATTTGGAATACTGGTCGTAATCAGATTTGGAATATAAATCTTCAAAGATGTATTCGACCACGTGCACGAGAATATTTGGGTTTGGTTGGATAAGAGAGCAGTTTGATCGGATGAAAAATTGGATGTAGCACCTGTTTTCTTGTTTTAGTTGTTTTTTTTTTTTTTTTGTANTTTGTAAGAAAGAGCATGTTTAATGGAAAATTGTTATTTTTTTATCATGTAGCATACAATATATTTTTTGTGAATGTATTTGATTGATTTTATGCTTGTTTATTGAAAAATAGGTGGGTGTTCAAATACTTGGTTTATTGGAAAAGATGTGGAGTGTTCAAGTTAGATTATTTTCTATATATAATCTATTTATATAATCAATCAATCAAGTTCTTATAACGCTCTGTTACTAAGGAAATAAACATCAACTAAATGCTTTGCCTTCTTATACTTAGGGGGTGATTGGATATCAACTAGTTGGTAATTTAACTGATTTAAATTGGTTTCGACTCATTAAGTTGGTCATGAGTTAAAAATTGGTTTTGCACTGATTTTTACTGTTGGGTTTATGTTTGGATATCAATTGTTGGGTTTTGTCATGGGCCCACAATTTTCCTTTTTTCTCTGCACACATTCATTATACTCAGATTTTTTTTTGATGGTACGCCCCCCAAGGCACCAAACCAACCTTTACATGTTCACCCCAACAAAAAATCCATGCACTTTTTTCTTTTTCTGGCCCAGAAGGTTGCCAATTTTATTTTCTTTTATTATTGTTTTTTAATTAAAAGCCCAATGCATGTGAATGGCCTACAAAATTGCTGTCACAACAGTCATTTTGGTGGGCTGGGCAAAATCAAATCTAGTAAAAATCTAGTTGAGTTCCTCTACTTTTGAAAAAACAAACTATTGTTTAAAGTCTTAGGTCGATTGATGGCTTAGTTTGCTTAATATTCTTAACCTAAAGCATCTAGGGTCCAAACTAATTTCAATTAACTCAACTTGATTCAAGTAGGCCACATATACATGCATCTAGGAGATAATGTCTATTTTTTAAAACGAAACACAATTTTATAAAAGTCCAGCATGCACAGCGAATTTAAAATAGACACAACTTTCAGCACATAAGTCATAGAAGCATGATTCCATTGGCATATGAATTCTAAGTCATGCACCTACAACTTTAGTTTAGCTCACAAAAGCATATAAGGTCATTCAGGTAGTGAAATAGAAGCTAACTTCCGAAACTAAGATGCTGCCTGAAAACTGATTCTAACTCATGCGTTGTTTTACTAAAACGAGTACAACTCACTGATCAGTACATATTTTCAACTCGTTCTTGAATATTCTGAAAGCTAACAATTCGGAATACAACTTTCATGAAGATCATAGTTGCAAATAAATTCATTTAACAGGTGATAAAAAAATGTCTAGCCATACATTCTATGTCATTCCTAAATAACATAACGTACAACTTTCAGAGCCCTGGTAGAAGCACCGGGCGGTCGAGTACAAATGGTTGTGAAATTGACCACCCTTTACCCTAAGGGCAGCTCAGCAATTTGCCCAGACCTGGTCGAATGTTAGAGTCTCTAAGGAAATCTTGGCCGCATGAGCGTAGGGACACGTGGCGTGAGATAATTGGCCCTTGCCCATAACGGTTTCTGATAGATTCCTGACACATTTTGAGTACGCACACCTGAGGGCGTACGGTCGGGCAGATCGGGAAGCTGACTCATCCAAATCAGGCAGTATTTAGGGCATGTATCTCACCCCTATATATAGGGATGAGGCTCATCATTTTTAGATACAATCTCATATACTCTTTATACACTATCACATATATTCTTCATCTTCTCAAGGCTGACTTGAGCGTTGGAGGCTCTTCAACAGAAAAACCCTCCGGTGTGAGAGTTTCGTGCAGGTCTTGGCGTTCTGCCGGCGAGGAGAGCGAGCTTAAGGTGGTCCTCAGCCGGCCTGGACGTTACACTTGTATTAACATGTATATTGGTTGATAAAAAAAGTTTTTTTTTCCCAAAAAAATAGAGATATCTCAACAAGGATAGTAACCCCCTCCTTTGCGTTCAAGCAGCTGAACGCGTTCAACTGCTTATTTTTTTATTTTATTTTTTTTAAATCAATTGTTTATTTATATTATTTTCTTTTTTTATATTAATTTATTTTCAATTTATATCACACTTCTCAATATCTATCAATAACTTACGTTTCTTATCATCCCCTTCTTTTTATACTTATATATTTAAATACGCAACTGTTTTACAACTCTCTTGCACCAAAATTTTTGTTATCTATATTAGAAGCAGTTGAACATATTTGGACTCATTTTGCATTCAACTAAAAGAGGGCAGCAGAAAGTGATTCGAAAACAGAACCCCTTCCAAAACCAACCCAGCAAAGCACTATTACTATATTGAAATCAATGCTCATTTTCCGGTGTAGCTCTTACGGATTGGCCTAAATGGACACCCAAATCAGACCGAGCCCTTTGTCAGGCTGTTGTTCCCCCAAGTTATGGAGTAAGACATTTCTTTCTCAATAAGATCCGTTTTGTGGATTGTATGATGGACTCCCCAGAAAAACATTGGCGCACGTGTAAACGAGCTTCTTTGATTTCTGAGCTGCTTCCATAAATTTGATCGCGGTTTACAATTATTGTTTTTTTTTTTTTTGTATACTATTTTTCATTTGTAATCTTAATTAAAGTTTTTTTTATTTAATAATGTTATTTTTATTTTCAGCAATTAAAATTAAATATTTTAATAAAAAAATATACTTATTTTAAGAATAGAATATTAGAATAATATTGAATGAGTGAGAAATGTGTCCCATATGTTGGCATTTAAATGAATTAACCAATGTGGGTGTATGTTTAAATGGAGAGATGATTAGTGGAAAGATAACGTGAACATGATGTGGATGAGAGAGACAGTGTAAATTGTGATTAAATGAGTGGAAACGGATGAGGATGCCCTAACATAAAGAGTTTGCGCCATAAACCAACAGTAAAGTACCATTGGGAGAACCGCACATCATGTCACCTAAAACAACACACTGTTTAGACGTAAACTAATGGTAAGTACATGCATACCGAGGCCTTCAGTTTACAGCTCTGAAGCACAAACTCAAACTAGACAGAGAGGCTGGTACAAGAAAGACCTCGACCGGCTGGAAGTCAATTCGTCCTCGTGCTTCCTCGCCGGTACAAAGCTTCATACCTGCAATGCGTATGTGTAGAAGATGAACTCTCAAGAGTAATATGAACGTAAAATTCCTGAAAATGCACGTCTCACCCACGTCAAGGCAGCGAGAGAGGTAGTCTGCCGCCAGAACAAAAAATGAGGGAGAGAGGGGGTCCTCCTACCGGAGCATCCGAGAAGAAGAGAAGAAGTCAGTGGGGCCGCCATTAACCAAAATCGAGAACGTGCAATACTCAACACACACCTCCACAAAACTGACACACCGCTCTGGGAAGCCCATCCAGATCAGTGCCTCCATGAGAAACGACCACTCCATACACCTTAGCCATGTCTAACTTCAGCGCAAGTTTCGGGACTCGCATCCGATTCACATGGGAGACGTAAATCATCTTCTGGACCAGAAGGATATTGTCACTAAGGGATGGTCGGGAAGAAGGAAGCAATAAGGGGCGCAAACAAGTCCCTATCCGAGGTGAAAAGAGACTGAAAATGCGCCACGGGCGACACTCGTATCTGGGACTCTAGAGTCAGGGGTGACCCGTTGTCCTCGATACTGTGGATATATGACCTGACACGCTTCTGCCTCACAAACCCCTGAAAGTACTTGGTATTGTGTTCCCCCTCAGCAGCCCAGCGCACGACAACCTTTTCCTTCCAGAAATCCTACTCCATAAGGAGTCGAAGTTGGTACTCGGCGTGACAGTAGCACATCATGATACTATTCTCCGGAGTGAGATCCAGATCAGAAGCACACTCCGCATCCGCATATGAACTTTGAGCTACAAAAAGGTGTTGAAAGAGGTCTCCAAAACATCCCAATTCCACTGCCTCAGCTTGCGCCAAAGTCACCCGAGCTTGGCCTCCACGTCAATTCTATCAGATAATCCTAATGGTGAAAATTTTTCCTAAGTACAATATTAAACTTGAAGACTTGAGCAACATGTCGAGCGGATAAAGTATTCTTAACAAAAATATTAGACCTCAGAGGCAAGCCGAGTTCATAAACTTGTATCAAGCTTGATAGTATTTCAAACTTTGGAAAATTACTAAGTATGGAAGTGAGTTTGGGGAGCACAATGGTAGGTCAATCAATTAAGAATGATGCTTATAGGTGCAGAATTAAAAATAGTGTTTTAAATGATGTGGCATGTTGAGAAATGTAAAAGAACGTTTATGAAATTTAATTGACAAAAATACTCTAAGAGTGCTTGCGTGCACGCACAAGGGAGCACGCATAAGGGAGCATGAGTGTAAATCTACTTACTAAAAGATTCATGTGTGATTAGCGTGAGCGTAGTGTGGTAAAAGCAAAAACACATTCACCTCATTTCCAGTAAGAAAACAAAATAACCAAACAAAAGCTCATGAACAAGCATATTCATTTTCCTGATAAGAATGCTGGAACTTTAGAAAACAAAATGGTAACAAGTATGAGGTGAAGTAGAATACGTGTACACTCGCTCAAAATTCATCATATCGCTTACTAACGCACACTCAAGTGGGCCCCACAACTCCTCTCCTCCCGATATTTCCAAACCTGCGCGCGACACCAAATACGAGCGTCTTAGTCAATAATCCTCGGTCAAGGCTACAACAGGCAACGACAACTGCACCTCCGATTATCAACAGCTTGGGCAAATTCACCCCTTTGTGAGGATTTTGCTTATCATCATCATCTCCATATTCTACTCTTACTTTCCTCTCGTCTTCCATGGCCTTGGGGTCGAGCTTCGTGTTGATTCCCGCCAAAAATGCATGGTGGGATAATGGCTGGGCAGAGGCTCGGTGCTTTTGGTAGGCCCTAAAGCCACGCTCGATGTTCTTCACGGCACCCCACATTCCTTGCCGAACCCCAAATTTGGCGATCTCGCGCGGTATACCCATGTTCTCATGGTGGAACAGAATTACCTCACATGCAGTGTTGGATTTACGCGATTCAACTGCATGGGATATGTATGTAAATGACCAATTTAATCAGTAAAAATATCAAACAAAGCAGCAACTCATCCCATTTTTCCTCATTTTCTAATTTTTTAGTTACAAGAATAATAGATAATTGTTTTATCAAACACTATTTTCAGCATTCAGCAGTCGGCACAAAATCAAGACGAGCGTCCTGGCATAAAATAATTAATTAGGCATTGTTGATTATGAGAAATTAAGATATTTAAAAGAAAACTTCTCTCGACCTGCTTGAATAAACCAACTTGAATAGAAGAGATCAACTCGTCTCGGTTTGTCTCTCCTAGGAACAGAAGAACATGGGACTCCCTGGTAAAAGGAAAAAGTAAATAAAGGAATTATCAAACTCAAATTTTGTAAAGAATAAAAATATAAAAAATTTGTAGTAACACGAGAGCTGACAGTAAAAATGTTCAAAATTCACATTTACCTTTTAGCCTTCTAGGAAAAACTTTAGATACTTATTTACTATGCAACAGATAAGTATTACAGAAAAGTTCTCATTGCACTCATCACCATACATTTGAGATACGGAACTTTTGATACACATGATAGATTACTTTAGCCAACACAATCGAAAGAGTTCCATAAAAGCACCTGATTTTTTTTAAAAGGGAATATAAAGAATGGGAAAAACAATAAAAATAATGCTGTCACAAGTGGTTTACCTTAGTCACGCAGTAATATGATCTTCCCGAATCCCATATTCGACGTCCTATTATGTATTCTCTGTCACTGCAGAAAAATGGGAACTACACGCAACAAAAGACTCTGACATCAGTGACCTAACATAAGACAAATATTAGGAAAAGTTGGACAGTAAAGGATGGCATTATGAAATCCTATTTCCTGACCTTACGTGTCCAATGAACTACCATAGTTCCCGTGTTAGGGCATTCTTCCAAAATCGAAGCATTTATGAGCATGTCGTCCCACTCCAGTCGGAATTCATCATCCCAAAAGAAGTCTCTTAATAATTCGGGAGTCGCATCCTCGTAAACTGTTCTGCTACAATACTGAGGGAGCCCATCCTGGGAAGAAATCGAACACTAAATACACAGAGACACAACACACACACACACACACACACACACACACATATATGTATATAATTCAAGTGCAAAACAAGGACAAATACAAAACCCATTTAAACAGTTCTACTTGTAACGTATGGAATATACCAGACACATAACTATGCGTATTCTAAGAAAAGAAACAGATTATATCAAGAGGGGTATTGGTTATGCCAAGTGAAAATTGGTTGTTCTGTTTGTTATAAGAGTTAACCTAAGATGAAATTTTTGTAATTTGCAAACAGAAGGTTCATGATCACTACAAAAAAAAAGGATAAACCCTCTCTCTCTCTCTCTCTCTCACTCACGCTGGCTGAGAAACAAAAAAAGGAAGATAAGATAGATCAAGATAGAAAAAAAAAATTGATATAGGGAAACATCGGCAGCATTTTGCTGCAATACCTCAGAATCCCTTTGCCATGCTTGATAGCTCATACTTTGAGTTGAGCGATCCATCACATGCTTCCAAGGGAGCCCTCCATCTTTTCTCTCAACCAGATGGCATAAGTGTTGCAAATCCTCATATGTGACGAGCCTAGAGGCCCCAAATACTTCTTCTCCTAACTCAGACGACCTAAAAGCAATACACACTTGTGAAAAAGCTGAATTTTAGAAAAGTGTGGTTATTGCGAGTAAAAGTCCAACAGGAGAGGGACACGAAATTTACATATACCCTGTTTTCATATTATAAATAAACTATGCTACGTAACAAAATTGAAATTGAAAGTATTGAAACTACTTATGTTCATTGCAAACTAACAGATCATTTTGTTTAACCACTTGCAAATGCTCCCTAATTACTGAAGGCAAATCTGCATCACTAACATAGACATCTTAAATATCTTGAAAATTTTGTGTTACTCCAGCAAAGTTATCAAAGTTTGAAGGAGACATTACAACCGGTAATACATGTTCAAAACCTGAAATTGGAAATAACAACTTAAATTTGTGGAGCACTATAAGACCTCTTAGTTTTTCCAAATACATGACAGTCAATACATAAATGTCAATTTATTCAATTGGCTGGACACAAAGGTGGGATTTGAACAAGAACAAGCTCTTGTTTTCAATCATACAAGAATAATAATCAAACATTAGATCGTGCTATATGATAAAATAAAATAAAAAGGCCGAACAATTAATATTAATAGTATTTTATCATGTTTATAGGCTTGCACACATGCAAACCTTACTTCTAACATATGATTCTGAAAAAATGGTGAAAGCTTTAATTATATAAATGAACAACAAAATGACATATTGCTGAAAACGCTAAAGATACTTCACCTGAAAACAGCACCATCTTCTTCCGCCGGCAAAACCATTCCATCTTCACTCCCCAATCCATTATCCAACACAGAAGAATCAAAACTTGCAGACCCAATTCTGCTTAAATCCAAGCATTTCTGGGCATTCGCTGAAATTGAAGCTGAAGGCGAAGGAGGAGCTGAAAATTCAAATTTACAATTTCCTAAACTAGTCCACCTAGGTTTCCAAGCCCAACCAACCACAACACCCAGAAAAAACGCTATCCAAACAGGCCCTAAAAACTGTATCAACCCTAGCACTATTGACCAGATTGTGGGCCTTTCCAGAATCTCCAAGAAAGCTTCAACCAACGCCATAGCTTCTGAAACTAGGAACAAATTCTAATTACAGACTACTGAGAGCAAATGATATTGACAGGGTATTTACAGAATAAACAGGAAAAACACAAAAGAAATAAAAGAGTTAAAAAAGGAGTAATAGATAAGAATGGAAGGAACACTAAATAATGGATGAAGTTTGTGGGAAAGTCGATTCTTGTGGGAGTTCTCTTCCAATTACAAAATTTTGTGTGTATGCTTTTTTCTTTTTATTCTTTTAGATAGAAAAGTCTAAAGATAGAAACTAGAAAAAGGATAACGCCGAGAGAAAGGGAAGAGAGAGAGACCGCCAAAGAAGCAGTGGTTAGATAGACGAGGGCAATTAATAAGGATTGGCAGATGTTTGCGCCTCTGTAATTGGATTTTTTTTTTAATCAAATGTGTGGTCCAAAGAGTTTTTCCGCTTTGTGAATATCGGTTTTGCTATGGAGCCAACAGTTGGTTCCATAGTAGAGTCAACCTTCTATATACAACAAATAAATTTACTATATTCTCTGATTACTTAAATAATATTAATATAATTTTATTAATATGGTAAGTTTATTTGTTGTATATAGAAGGTTGACTCCACTATGGAGTCAACTGTTGGCTCTATAGCAAAACCGTTGCCAATATATGAGCATAGGCTTATAAACGCGTTCGACCTGTGCGACTTGAGGTTTGATGTGATATTTGTGAAATACATGCTATTCCTTTGTTTTAAAAAATTTAAAAGAAAAAAAAAATTACGCATAGCCGGTGGAGGCATTAGATAATATAATAGGAGGTAATACTATTTTTACTTCAAGATGTGCTAAATTTTTTAAACCGCTAATTAATAAATTAATTTTTACTTCAATATGTGCGGAACAAATTATGCAATACACAAACTAAAGTAACTGATAAAGTACAAAATATTTATGTGATAAACTATCTCACAGACAAACAAATAAAATTGATAAAATGCGAAATAACTATGTCGATAAACTATGCAGTAGAGACGAAGATAACTAATAAAATGTGATATAATTATGCGATAAAGTATGTGACAGACAAACTTAATTATGTCGATAAACTATGCAGTAGATAAGGGACATGAGCATCTAGGGTGTAAGCTTAATCGGTCTATTTATGGACTAATGCAAGCTTCGAAATCTTGGAATATCCGGTTCGATGAGGTGATCCAGTCGTAGGGGTTCAATCAATGTCCGGTGAGCACTGTGTGTACAAGAAAATCAGTTGGAGCGTAGTGGTGTTTCTTGTGCTTTACGTAGATGACATACTTCTTATTGGAAACAGTAAGGAGTTATCAGACGTAAAAGTGTGGTTGTCTAAGCAGTTTGATATGAAAGACTTAGGTGAAGCATGACACATTCTTGGTATTAGGGTCATTCGAGACCGTAAGAAGAGAATGTTGTGCTTATCCCAATCTACATACATAGATACTGTCTTGGCCAGATTCAGCATGCAGGATTCCAAGAAGGGTATGTTAGCCTTCGCCGAACATCAGCCATGCCGCCGCTGGACCTCAGTCGCGTCGCCGCCGTAAGCCTCGCCGGTCACATCGCCGCTGAAACCAGCCCGCCACCGTCAATCTGAATAACTCCCGGATTCCGGCACTGTGTGGTCGACATCTCCCGGCGCCTGTGTGATCATTAGACATGGCCGCGGGCCGGTCGGTCCCGGACCGTCCCTATGTCCGGTTCGGTCTCGGGCCTTGTCCAAGCGGACCGTCGGCCCAGCGGGTCGGGCAGGGCCGGGCCCGGACCCGAGGACTGGCCACCCCTAGTGGTCATCCTCGCCCGGCGACCGTTTATCGCTGCCTCATCACCTCTTCACGTTGCCACGGCCATCGTCTCATCCCTGCACAAAGACGACAACAATCCGTGAAGAAAAATGGTCGATCTACAATTTTTTATTTTTTTTTTTTCTGTGCAAAGGCACTTGCTGTGAGCGACGATAGATTTTGGGCGATAAACACTGCGGATGGGCGACCATATCAACGGCGACGAACGTCGGGAGTGAGTTCCAGCTGATGTGAACGGGATTGACAATTGAAATTTGTGTTTGGAATTGTGGGGTTACATTTTGGGAATTTGATATGTTGTAGGGGGTTGATTGTAATTTTTTAAAGTTTCATTTATTTCAATTTAATACTTGAGGCAAATTTGTAATATAACAAAAGTTTAATTAATGCACAACATATCATGTTTTATTATAAATATTTATGTTTAATTTTTCGGTTAACTGAAATAACCAAAATAATTGAAATAAATTATATATAAATTAATGTTTAATATTTAATCTTCTATATTATGATTTGATTAAAAAAATAATATATTATGCGAACGAAATATGTTGTGCAATCTAACAGTTATTAACGTGCAATCCATCCAACAATATGGTGCACATTGATCGTTATTGTGCAGGTTGAACCAACTGAACCTTTGCTCACATATCGAGTTGAAAATGAATATAAGCAATCGATTTATTCGGTATGGCTAACCGAAATATCCTAAACAATAAAAATATTTTTTTATTTATATTAAATTTATATTTAATATGTTAATAATTTATTTGTTATTTTCTTATTATTTGTGGTTGAAAAAAGTCGAGTTTGGCCGGTTTCGATCTCTACTGTAGACTGTCGAGACAAAGTGCAGCGAGTTGTTTTATAAAGTGCAACGAAGTATGTTATAAAGTGCAATGTGTTGTCTGTTGATATACAAAGTGCACTACTGTAATCAGTCGGTTTATTCGGTACAGCTAACGAAATATCCTAAACAATCGAAATAATTTTTTATATACACTAAATTTATATTTAATATGTTAATAATTTTATTTATTATTTTATGTTATTTGTGGTTGAAAAAATTCGAGTTTGGTCGGTTTCGATCTCTATTATAGAGTGTCGTGTTAAAGTGCAGCGAGTTGTTTTATAAAGTGCAACGATGTGTGTTATAAAGTGTAATGTGTTGATATACAAAGTGTACTACTGTAATCAGTTGATTTATTCGGTTCTGCTAACCGAAATATTCTAAGCCATCGAAATAATTTGTTATTTATACTAAATTTATATTTAATATGTTAATAGTTTTATTTATTATTTTTATATTATTTGTCAAAATCGAGTTTGGTCGGTTTCGATCTCTATTATGGAGTGTCCTGACAAAGTACAACGAATTGTTTTATAATGTGCAACGTGGTGTGTTCTAAAGTGCAATATGTTGATATATAAAGTGCATTATTGTAATTTGGGTACATTAACATTCTTGTGTTTTTTGTGTACGGATGCTATGATCGATGTTATATTATTATGTACGTAGATACGATATTTAGATTTCTGATGTGGGGTATTTTGGTGGAAGCTATCGACATTAATTGTGGAATTGATAAAGTGCAATATGTTGTTTTATAAAGTGCAATTTGTATTTTATAAAGTGCAATGTGACGATATATAAAGTGTCTTATATGATCCGAGATAAATTGCATGTATTATTATAAAAATAACTTAGTATTTCATTATATTTAATTTTTTATTATTATATAAATATACTTAGTAATTTATTATTTTATTTATTTATATATTATTTTTTGGTTGAAAAATATAATATTTAAATATGTATAAAAAATATATATAAAATATAATTATTTATATATATTTTCAAAAATTACAGATTTGCCTATGAACTAAATTGAAAATAATCAAAATTAATAAAATTGCAAAAAAGCTCTCAAAATTATATAATTCTAAAAAAAAATCGAGAAACCCAAAATACTAATCCTAGTCGGTGAATTCCCGTCGCTCACGGCCCTCTCCGACTCAATTCGTCCGGCATCGGCCTCCGACGGCCATTGGTGCGTTGTAGAGGAAGTTCGGACATAGTATGACGGCGGCGGCGGAGGCCAGCGATGGCGTCTGTGTCTGTGTGTGGCGAGCCGTGTGTGTGTCAGCGGTGGCGGGGGCGATGGCGACGGAGAACAGGCGGTGGAAGGTTGTGCGTAGATCCTCCTCCGGTACGACGACGACTGAGAAATATCCCTGTCTCTACCAATCCAAACTATTTCCAATAAATCAACAAGAAATTCGAAATCCCATATGAAATCAGTGAATTATAAATTATTAATTCGTCAATTGGTGAGTGTGTCGACGGTGAAGGGTGGTGGCGGCATCGGCGAACGGACGGCGGTGAGCAGTGACGGTGTGTGTGTGTCGATTTTCGTATGTGTGTGTGTGTGAGAGAGATAGAGAGAGAGAGAGAGGGAGCTAGTGAGCCGGAAAGAGCGAGCAGAGGGGCTGTGACGGCGGCGGACGGGTGGTGGCGACGACGGACGGGCGGTTGCTGACCGTGACTATGTGTGTGTGTGTGTGTGTTTTTTTCGATTTCTGCGTGTGTGTGTGCGTATGTGAGATAGAGAGAGAAAACGGGGTGGGTGGGTAGATGGTATTATTGGCAGTGTATTATTATGTGAAGGGGCCCACCTTTTTATTTGTGATGTGCAAAATTACTACAATACCCTTAATGAAGGTATTTTTTGAATTTTTTTTAGCCATTAGATCATCCGATCCAATGACTACGATTTATTCCTATTTCTCGTAATAAGAGTCATTCTCACCGGATCTCAACCCTATATAGATTTGGTTCACTTTGAATTTTATGGTAGGGAATAACTGCACATTTTTATTGTTTTTATTTTTTGTAGATCTATTTAAATAAGTATAAACAATCTACTTATAAACATTAGTTAATAATTTTTTTCTACTCCCGGAGTATGAGCGAATATTTTATGATGTGGATTCTCTTTCTCGAGCTAACAGACGCGAATTTAATTGGATGTGTATGCTTAATTATAATGAGATAAGATGGACCAAAAAAATCTGCATGTAATCTTTTGTTAAATGTTTGGATTTAAAAATTTTCCAAAAAAATTCAAAATACATTTAGGAGGGATTTACCAAAAAAATTCAAAAACATTTCCTTTATTGGTAAAAAACGAAAAAAATAGCGGGAAACTTACATTCTATTTTTGTATTTTTTTTTCTTCTATCTATTATATAATCTATCTATATATAAAAGGAATTACTATTTACCAAAAATAGTAGCCATAAACATTTTGTAATAATTAATACATACTATAATTGGTAAGATTTCAAAAATTCAATAATAATTAATTAACTTCATGCATAAATCTCGCAAGCTTACAAAATCCTATTATTTTGCATAAATCTCGACAGATTAAAAATTTGATCCTTTTATCTAGCATAACATACTTTGAATAAAGGTCAACAAGTTTACAAATTTCATTGGCATAAATCTGGATAAGTTTAAAAAATCTCATTACAAACCCTTACATAGTGAAAAATCTCACATATGTTTAAATCCGCCTCTGACAAGTTTAAAAGATTTTTAAATCTCATTCTTATGCATAAATCTGTTTAAAAAATCTCATCCCTTCTATATGGTAACATATTTTTTTTAAAAAAAAAACTAATTCATAATTACTAATGAAAATTTGTAACATATTTTTTAAAAAAAATCAAATTTTCTCTTTAATGTTAAATATCCTCTAATTTTTTTTTTAATTTTTTTATTTATTTATGAAAATTAACTACAATTTATTCATTTAGTCAAAATTGAAATTTAATAAAGAAAATTAAGAATAAACATATAAGTAAAAATGTTTTATAATTATTATCTAATCATCGAACTCACTATATATATTATTTGGAGAATGAATGAAACTATATCTATATATTTATATATATATTAAGCTATTTGAGTATATCATATATTTAATTTAACATATAAGTGTTAATAAAGAGTGATTAATATTTCTTTATATTAGGAGCTATATTTATTCATAGCGTGACATAATATCTTTCTTTAAGTCTATAAACCTGTAATATTTTAGATACTTTTAAATATATTGTTTAAACAATTATTTTACATATTATATGTATATGTACATAATTTTATATATTTTTAGATATGTTTTCTACGAAATAGTTTAGAAAAATTTTAGGTGGATTCTCATCTTTATGTTTCTTTACAAAATAGTTTAAAAAAATTTGGGTGACTTCACATCTTTCATTAATAATATAAAAAATTTTATATACTTTTGCATATGTTATATAATATTTTAGGTGTTTTTAATATTTTAAATATATAGTTTTAATTTTCTTCATATACAATATAATTTTATACTGTGTTCACTGTTCTAAAAATCGGCTTAGGCGGTGCCCGTGCGCCTTCGATTTGCACAAATCGGCAGAAAAAATCGGCCGGGCGGCCCTAGGCATTCCTAGACGGGCTTGGCGGGATCAGCGGTCAGGCGGCGTCTAGGCGGGCATAGGCGGACCTAGGCGCTCCTAGGCGGGCTCGACAACAACATTTCATTTTTGTAAATACTAATTACATTAGTTTGTTTTCATATTTTCTTTAATATATATTAATATTATTATTTGGACTTTGGTGTGTGAATTTATTATAAGCTGAGATAGTTTTATTTTGTAGGTAGTTAAAATAAATAAAAAATAAAGTATTTAATATTGATTTCGGGGCCCCAACTAAGCCCCGCCTAGGCGCTCTAGGCACTGGTCGAGCGCCTAGCGACTTTTAGAACACTGACTGTCAACGACGGAGCTACACTAGGACCAGGGGGACCGTGGACCCCCCTGATTTTTTGAAAAAAAATATCAATATATATATAATATATAAAGAAAATACACTAAGATATGTATAGGAATGTAAAAGATATTTAAAATATAATAATACTTATAGCTTATTTTTTATGCTATTTTAATATAAATTAATAATATTATTTATTTATTAAAAAATATACTAACAATTCTTATATTTTACGTTTCGAGATAAGTTTTTGAAAATATTTATAATGATTTACTCTTTCGGTTTCTTAATTTTAAATCAATTTGGTGATTTACAAAATCGAGTATTTAGTTGGATTGTTATATTTTCCAATGTTGTTTTTTTACTTTTTCTTTTTTTTTTTTTTTGTGTAATCATATATTTTTAATATTTATTTTTTTTTCTTAAGAAAATGTTCATTAGATAAGCTCTCATAAAAAAATGTTATGCAATGTGATGTAAAAGTCCAATTTAACTCAAATTTTCAACCAAAAAAACTTATTTTTTTTATTGAGGGAATATTCCACAGCAATGTAAAAGTCTGTGCTGATGATGTTGTATATCTGGACCTCCACTGACCATAGCAATAACAATCCCCCACTGCAGCCTTTGGGGTTAACTACTGAGCATCTATTTTCAAAACAATGCTTGCTTGCCACAGATTTAACAAAAGCAGACTATTTTTTGTTTAAGAAAGAAAAAAACTGGGTGGTGAGTCCTACATGACTCTCGGATTTGGGAAACTGTAGAGGGCCCACCCAGCCCTCTACAGTTCCACACCACAGCTAGCATTGATCACTTGGGTGCCATTCTGGGCTGGCCACCCCCACCTGTGCAATTGAGAATTTCATTTCTTATTCACTTCATGATTATCTGATGGAATGGTTTCATCCTGAGCTGTATTAGAAGCTTCTGTTGCTGTTCTTGATCTTTTGCTACTGATTGGTGTGATAGGCTGGGATAATCCTTCTTCCTGTCTCAAAAGTCTTCCTTCTTTTGTGGAAGATCTCTTCCACAATTTGGTTTTTCCTTGTTTCAAGTGGGATGGTTTTTGTTGGGAGTCTATCTGAAGTGAGACTGGTTCAATATCCATGGCCTTAGGGTTTTTAAGAGGAGGAATAGGTGCCACAGGTGTTATAATCATCAATTCTGTAGGTTGAGGGTGATCGATTTATTTATTTAAATAAAAATAAAACAAAATAAGTGGACAAAAATAAAAATAAAAAAAATGGGTGTGGACCAAAATAAAAAAGCACGGATTTTGAAAATCCGTTTTTACTTATAAAACAAATTTTCAAAATACGTTTTTCCTAATTACGTGATTAACTTAATTAAATAAACATTAAACGTTAATAACCGTATTTTTCAAATACGTTTTATTTAAGAAAAACGTATTCATCAAATACGTTTTATTAAAAAAAAATAATTTTGTATATTTTTTGTTACATATATTTGTAAAAAGAATTTTGGGAATCCGTTTTACACTTAATTAATTGTAAAACGGATTCTCAAAATCCGTTTTACATATTCAAAAAAAATGGTGCAAGGACCCCATATTCGAGACTCAAACCCGGGTAGGCGAATCTGTTATCTCTGGGCACACCTCTTTACCATTAGACCGCTAAGCTATCACATTAATTTTTGCGCAAATTTTATTCTTATCTTATAAAATATATACTATATAACATTATATACTATATACTATTATGTTATAACACTATATACTATATACTATTATGTTATAACATATAACACTATATACTATATATTATATAACACTATATACTATAGTTTATGTTATGCTGTATATTGCAAACACTATACTATATAATATAATATCTATCATATATTATATACCATAATATATAACATATAAACTATTTTTTTTAAAAACGTATTATGGGGGTGGGTTATTTAAAAAAAAAATATGTGGCAAAAAATAAAAAATAAAAAATGTTATGGAAAAGAATCAAACGGCCGGATTTTCATAATCCGTTTTTATTTATTTATTTATTTATTTTTGTTAAAACACGGATTCTCAGAATCTATTTTTATTTATTTATTAATTTTTTTGTTATAACACGGATTAATTGACTGAGATTGTACTAATTTGACTTCGATTGGACTAATTCGAGATCAATTACATTATAATTGACCGAGATTGTACTAATTTGACTTCAATTGGACTAGTTCGAGTTTGATTACACTATAATTGACCGATATTGTACTAATTTGACTTCGATTGGACTACTTCGAGTTCGATTACACTATAATTGACCGATATTGTACTAATTTGACTTCACTTGGACTAATTCGAGTTCGATTACACTATAATTGACCGAGATTGTACTAATTTGACTTCGATTGGACTAATTCGAGTTCGATTACTCTATAATTGACCGAGATTGTACTAATTTGACTTCGATTGGACTAATTCGAGATTGATTACACTATAATTGACCGAGATTGTACTAATTTGACTTCGATTGGACTAATTCGAGATTGATTACACTATAATTGACCGATATTGTACTAATTTGACTTTGATTGGACTAATTCGAGTTCGATTACTCTATAATTGACCGAGATTGTACTAATTTGACTTCGATTGGACTAATTCGAGGTCGATTACATAATTGACCGAGGTTGTACTAATTTTACTTCGATTGGACTAATTCGAGTTCGATTACACTATAATTGACCAATATTTTACTAATTTAACTTCGATTGGACTAATTCGAGTTCGATTACACTATAATTGACCGAGATTGTACTAATTTGACTTTGATTGGACGAATTCGAGTTCGATTGCACTATAATTGACTGAGATTGTACTAATTTGACTTCGATTGGACTAATTCGAGTTCGATTACACTATAATTGACCGATATTGAACTAATTTGACTTCGATTGGACTACTTCGAGTTTGATTACACTATAATTGACTGATATTGTACTAATTTGACTTCGATTGGACTAATTCGAGTTCGATTACACTATAATTGACCGAGATTGTACTAATTTGACTTTGATTGGACTAATTCGAGTTCGATTACATTCTAAAAATTTTTTTAGAGTGGAAAATATTTTTTTTTTTAACTTTACAAAATTATTTGAAGATTTTTTTAGAAAAACGGATTCCGAGAATCCGTGCTTTTGATTGTTGTCCACCCTTTTTTTTTGTTTTATTTTTGTCTACTTGTTTTGTTTTTTTTTTTTAATTAAATAAATCACCCGGGGATAACATACCACCATAGGTAAGAGGCCAAAATCTCCACAATAAACGTTCTCAAAACAAATAATAATAAATAAACACATTAAAAATAAAATACACAGTCTAAAATAAACAATATTGATTGTTAAGCTAAAAAATGGGACAATACTTATAGGAGAACCCAAGCTGCAGCCTCCGTGTAAATAACTAAATATCGTGAATACCATAAATCAAAATTCAAAAAATAATAATATAAATATGCCAAAACACTATGATACTTGGTGAGACTTCCTGGATAAAGGGCACAAGGTTAGGCAGCAACGAAAACCTAAACCGACCATTAATTTTGATGCACCACATGATGTGGATTATCAGTTGCTTGGCGGACGAATTGCCCTTTGACACGTGGACGTTGCTCTGCCAGTTTTTTTCTGCTTTCATAGCGTACCTGTTAACAAAAATGTCAAAATCAATACAAAAGATGGAAAAGAGTTCCAACAAATTTCAACATATAGCTACACATGAATATAAAACTTGCTGCTTGAGCATAAAATAGAACTGCAAAGACCAAGTTTTCGAAAAGAAAAGAAACTGCAAAGACAAAGGCGGCCATCAAACTTCGATTAATTTAAGATTGTTAATTCCAGGAATCTGTATTAAATTATTTGAATGATCGAACAAAATTTGCATTTTCGAAAAAGGAGTGGTCATTTTGATAGAAAGAGGTCGCCAAAGAGTATCGATAAGCTAATCTATCAATCCCACCTTATACGACATAAAAGTGAAATCTTGCCAAAGTAGAATGAATCAGTTAAAAGCATAATGTGTGGTTAGGCGAATCACTTTAAGATCCAAAGCCCGTAAAAAAGCTAGGATCGACAAACCTTCTTTTCAAAACATCTATCTTTCCTCTTTTGTCTGAATTTTTTCAAAGCCGCTTGTCTTTGCATGGACTGACAAGGGACACCCTCCCAAACAAGTCCATCATTCATATTTAAGTTGCTCTCATTAAAATTGCTAAGAAATTTTTCCTTGGGCGAATAGAAATGCTGCAGCTGAGGGCAAAACTGTAAATTGCTTGCCTTGGCTGGATTATGCAGGCTGGATTGAGACATAACAATCCCATTGTTTATAATGTTTCTGATTCTTATGCCTTTAACTGGGATTGGTGGAGATATTTCTCCTTTATGCTCTTTCTGCTCATTACAGCTGCTTGTGAATATCGAGTTTCTAGGCTGAACTGTTCTGTTTATGTATCTGCATGCTTATTTATCATCAACCCATAATCAAAATGACGATACTTGCTTAATCTTAAGAATAGAAAAAAAAATAAATTAAAAATTTGGAGTTAGTATATTAGCAAAAATTTATTTGAAACATTTATAGGCCTTAAAAAGGACATTTTTATGAAGTATTGGAGTTGTAAAACTGATGACATAATTAACAATCGAAATAAACAATGACATTGAACTGAAAAATTAATAAATATATAAAAAAATAAATAAGATGAATAATAATTGGACATATGGTTATAAAACTTACCGAGAAAAAGCCGATGCATCAGAGTGCTTTAACCTAGGTGTCTCATCATAGCCTTGATTAACCGAGCAACTCGGATGAGATCTCCTCAAAGAAAGATCCAATGGTGGCAGTTCTTCTAACTTATCAAAAACTCCTATTAAGTCAATGGCTTCTCTAGATGATTTCTGGTCAGCATTATCAGTCTTGAAACAGGAAAAACCAACATTAACTGGTAAATCGTTATCAGGTCTTTCGGTTTCCAACTCCGGTTTCGCGCATGAGCTCTGCACGCAAAAAGCTTAATGCTTTTAGAGAAAGTGATCAAGATCAGAGATGTAAAATAAAATGTCGAAAATTCAAAAATAGAAGCTCGAAGCTTAATTTTTCTAAAAGGAAAAAAAAAAAAGCTCGGGCTAGAATTCAAGTACCTGAGCATCACTTACTCTTTCAATGCACTCAAGATTTTTCTCAAGGCAAGCCGTACTATCATTTGAACGATTACTAACACCATTATTCTCAGCTGTGGCCTCGACTTTTTGAACTGAGCCAGAAGCACTCAACTACATCATGATTTTCACAAAACAGTTATGCAACCAAATTAATAAACAACCAAAAAAAAAAACCATTCAACCAATTAAATATATTATTGGACGAGAAATGAGAAATTGTTCCTTACGTGTTGTTTTCTCCAAACGTGATGCCACAAGTTACTCAGCTCGTTTCTTCTTATCGGCTTGACTAGAAAATCGGCTGAACCTCTCAACATGCATTTGTAGACAGTACTTATGGAGTCATGTGATGACATCACTGCAGTCATTACCAATGAGAAATTACTACTATTTGAATAAATTGGTTGAAGAGCATAAAAATATATTGAATATTAAAAGTTCCTGAGACAATGCTAGTGTAACATACTTATTACTGGGATATTTTTGCATATATCGTGTTCCATAATTAAGGTAAGAAGGGCGTATCCAGAGATTGAAGGTAATTCAACTTCGCTCAAAATGAGGTCTATTTTGTGAGGTCTTCCTTTTATTAATTCCCACGCTTTTAAGCCATCTGAAACTGATGCAACTGATTTGAAAGAAAAAAAAAGATGGCATTCAGTATATTAACAGTGAGATCATGTTCATTGACAAGCACGAAAATTGGGCTAAATAGCAAATTACGTCTTTTAGCTATTACGTGGTGGTAGCAATTGTCGTTCCCAAATTACAATTTGCAGAAAAATCAGGACTCAAGTCCTTTGGCAGATGCGAGGACATGCTACCACAGACCTAATAATTTGATTTAATTTCAATTGACAAACATAAAATCAAGTTCTCAAATGAAAATTTTATCAGAAATTCACAAACCCATTCCAACTAGAAATACTAATCTTGATGGCTTAGTCGAAAACACACACACACACACACACACACACCCATGAATAACAGCCACTTGGTACAGTTTCACGATTTCAAAAACTAATGATTATAGAATTCAGATAAAGGAACAATATGTTTTTTCTTAAATGACAAATTCTGCAGTATTTCACGAATATGAGCTGAAAGCTGTGACAAACAACAGCCTAACAGAGGTATTAGCTTATCAACAACATCCAGCAGCCAATAAAAGAACCTAATAACAACTCAACACTTATAATACACAGACAAACACACAAGGAGAATGACAAACCACTGAACAAGCTGAAGCACTTCAACATCCCTGTTATCCACAACCAAATCATCACTCCAATACAAGAATAATACATTATCAACTTCTCAAAGCCGAATTATTATTGGAAACAGCTAAGAGAAAAAAATAACAGAGAATAAAAATCCAACCTTTAAAGCTGCATTTTCTTAAAAGGGCACCAATAATCTGGCGGGTTGAATTATCAGCTTCCACCAAAAGCACTCTCATCGACAGTTTCCGCAAAAGCCTTTCCCACCCTAAATTTCCGGCGGCCGCCTCCGCCGCAGCACCGCCGTCTGCCGTGCTGTTCGTATTCCCACCCATGATTCCGGCCGACCCTGTTTCATGAATTTCCAATCTCATTCCATTTTCCGTGGTCAGCCCAACTTCATCCATTTGTGTTTGATCAAGATTTTTGCTGTTTCCAGAGAATTTCGAAATGGTAGTACAATCGTAGAGGTCGGAAATTAGGTTTAAATGTGATTTTTACACCATTTCATAATTACATATATAGTATAAGCTCATAAAAATATCTGAACTTGGTGACACTGTTTTTCTTTGAAAGTTGATATTTTATGGTGGCCTTTTATGGTGCACTTTAACCGCCTCCCTCCGTGGCTCAGAATTTCGATGCATAATTTTGTACTTTGGCCCTCTACAAACATGCAATTTATAGACACAAATCATAAAGATGGAAATCTGCTTTGAATAAATAATTTTGAATTCTAAAAAATATCTATCTTCTATGAAATATTATTATTTTATTTAAGATATATTCATTTTTTTTTAACTTAAATAGAATAATTAATTTATTCTCAAGTTAATATAACGCTCGTGAACAATGTAGGGGTGCATTAAAATAAAAATAAAATATTTTTATCAAAATAAGTAAGTAAAGAAAATTATATTATTCTAATATAATGATAAAAAAAAATTATAAAAAAAATAATTAAAAAGTTAACGAAGTTAATTATTTAGAATAATATTTATATTTTAAAATTAATTTGTTAAAATGATATTTTTTTTAGTATCACACACACACACATATACACACACCAGATATATGTGTGTGTATGTGTGTGTGTATTATCTCAACTTAATAATTTTATTTTGAATTAATTTACATTTTTTTCAACTTTGATTAATATTTTATATGAACAATTTTCTTCCCTCACCTATTATAATTTTAAATATTCAAATTTATAATATTAAATAATTTAAAATATAATGTGTATGGGTGTAGTATTTTTAAAAATTACAATTGACATTTTTTTATTTTTTAATATCATTATAATATCCAATCTCTTTGTAGTTTTTATTTAAGTTGAGACATAAAATTTAAAATATATTTTTATACTTATTTTATGTTCATACTTACTTTATGTATATTATTTTCAATTAAATAAATATTTTATGATATATTAATACATAAATCAATTTTTGTTGCTTCATCTTGTATTTTTTTTAATTTAGTTTGATAAGTTGATTAAAAATTATTTATAAGGATATATATCATTGTTTTGTATTTTATATATGCAATATTGATGTTAAATCGAAGAACGTTAAAAAATAATAAATTTGATATATCATATATAAAAAACAAAATACAATTAAAAATGTTATAAAATTTAAAATATAAGAAGACACATTTATAATAATTGGTGTATAAATTATATAAGAAAATGAAATGTACTATATGGTAATGTGGGAAAAGAAAACGTAAAAGAATTTATGGTACCTAATTGTATAAGAAAAGAAAGAATTTATGCAATACAAGCCTAATTATTATTTTATTTAAGAAAAAAAGTAATTCATATCCAAGCCTAGCTACGAAGCATAAATTTTCGCCACATAAGACTCCCGTATTATGTGAGTGTGCCACTTAAATTCAACGCATTACGTAATTAGATATAAGGGTGATTTAATGTGAATAAAATATATAAATATTTAATGGAATACAAGCCTAATTATTATTTTATTAAAAGAAAAAAAAGAAATATATATCCAAGTCTAGCCATGGAACGTAAATTTTTTCTACATAAGACTCTGAAACATGTGACTCTGTCACTTAAACTCAACACATTCTGCACTTATATACAAAGGTGATTTCTTCGCTAGTGCTTCTAATACCTACATGAGAAAATCCTCACCAAACAAATAAATCATCCTCTCTCTCCTCCATGGATCATCCCGGCCACTCCCAACCTTCTCTCCTTCACCCGGCAATAGTTCAGATCTACAAACGGGGCAAGTCGTCTTCCACTTATCAATCCACGCATCTATGCAATCCTTGTGAAATACGTGCCTACAATTTGGCAACAATCTCACGTCTTCGTATTCCTTCATGACCGTCAAACATATAGAGCAATCATCATCACACATTTGCGTTGCACGCCGTAAAATATTAACATCACCATATTTGGACACGATTAGACGTTCTTTGGCAAAAATGATGAGGTGGAGTGGGACGGGTACTTGCAAAGGTGACGGTTGATGTTCGAGTTGGTGTTGATAGGGTTCTTGTGTGAATGGTTTTGAAGTTATAATTCTTGTAAATAGAGAAACTACCATATCCAGAAATAAGTCTTCAAGAAATTTGGGTACAAAATATTGGAAGCATTTAAGGAAGGGAAGGGCCATAATTTGTATTGTTGGAGATGGAAGATATTATCGTTCTGTGCGCGCGCGAGCATTTGTAGGGAAATGAGGAGGATGAAGTGGATGTTTATTATTTAATTATTTTCAACTCACAAGTTCAAAAATGTACTATTAAGAGTCCAATGTCAACAATGTACATCTAAACAGAAAAAAAAGGAACACAATTACAAGCTGGCATGAGCCGCAGGTAAGAAAAGTCTTCATCAAATGTTTGACATTGAATATTTTGATGGCTGCCTATGTACATAGAGGAGAAAAGTGAGGCCCATATTTGAGTAAGCATGTTAATTAGTCATATAAGGCCTAGTTTGACATATAAGTCTTGTTTGGCGATCAACGGATAGCGGATAACGGATTATAGCTGATTTGACCAGCGGATTACATTAGCGGTTTTTAAATAAGTGTTTGGTAAATAGCTGAAATTTTATAGCTGTTTGACATTGCAAAATGACCAATAAGGACATTTTATTATTTAGAGTGTATTCTTTTATTAATAATATATTAAAACATTTAATATTCTTTAGTTGGTAATTTATAAATATATATATTTTTTAAATTTACCAACACTTGATGAAGAAGTTATGAATGTTATATTTTTCTAGATAAATTAATCATATGGATGACATATTATTATTTATTAACTCCATAAACCAATGTAGATTGTAAAATAAATAAGATAAATTAAAAAGTTTCAAGTAAAATCTCTCAATTGTGAATCCTCTATCCCAAAAAGCTGTTCTAATGAGCTTTTTCTAAATTAAAGTTTTGGGCCCAAAAAGCTTATCCAATAAGCTATTTACCAAACAAGCTCAATTGCGAATTTCACGGGTCAAAACTCTCAATTAAGTCCAATCCGCTAATTTATCTTCAATCCGCTATCTACCAAACAGGGTCATAGTTGCTAATTTGAAAAGTAAATCTAACAAAGCATGGTTAAATTTTGTAGCAGAAATTTTCTTCCCTTTTTAGTATTTTATTTGTTTGAAAAAGTAATAATAATTTGTCTATAAATAAAAACTTTTGATAAATAAACCTTTTTATATAGCAATGTTAAATTTTTATATGGGTTTATTTTGAGAAATTCTCCTGTATTTTTATAATGATATTTTGATAATATCATAATAAATTTAATCTATCGTCATTAATTCTAAGGGTATATTTGAAAATTATAAAAATAATAAGGACGTTACATATANTCATTGAATAATGAAGTACAATATATTTTTCCTTTCTCATATATTAATATATTATTAAACAATCTGCATCCTAATTAAATACATACTGTTAGGACTGGGTTATATACTTTGACTTGGGTGTTAACCGATAGTTGATCGAATTGATGACATCCTATAATAAATAAATAAATAATGGAGCAAAAGTACGGAAATCTAAAGAGGGTATCTTATATAGATTTGATTTTATTTTTTGGTTAACTATAGTTAATTTTAAGAAAGTTGGTTGAGTTATGTTTAAGTGATATTTTGATTTTACATTAAAATAACTAGTACAGAGCCCGTGCGATGCACGGGGTGTACAATTTTAAGGCTATTTATCCAGGCTTATAATTATATACATAAATAAAGAAAAATGTACGGGATATATATAGTACGTGCGAAGCACGAGATATATTTATTTGGAGAATATTATATTATAAGATGCAATATTCAATAAAAGTTTATAATACGCAAGAAATTGTACAATGTTCAATAAAAATTTTATAATATTCAAGTGGAGTCTTAAAGTCTCTTGTACATTAAGACTACTGACAAAATAATATTTTAATCAATGAGTTCTTGTAGCCAAATTGTGAATGTGATTTGAGGAATACAACAAATTGATATATACTGACTTGCTTTTTTCATTGTAGTTTTTTTTTTTCTTTTTTTTTTTATAATGAATTTAAAGATATTCTAAAATATAACAAAAATTAATTTTGTTATTACAATTAGGAATTTTACTAAATATTAATCTATGGTGTTAATCAACGTTTAAGTCTAAAAAATTAGGAATTTTTACCTCTTTTAATCAACGTTTAAGTCTAAAAAACAATAGAGTTATTACAAGTTTTTTATCTACATCTTTTAAAACATTAAATATGAGCATGTTAGGGCTAGCTTGTAAAATAATTAATATATTATCTCACTAAAACATTTATACTAATAAAAATTTAATTTTAGCATATAAATTTATCCCTTGATATAAGAGAAAGTAACAGTTTTACTTATTGTTATTCACCATATAATATTTAATTATTATTTTACTATATAATAAAAAAGGAATATTGTTAAATAGTTTAGTAGAATTGTTATAAAATTATATGATTTTTTTTTTCACAATATGGATTTACTATTTTTTTATGATTTGATAATATAAACAAATCTATACTTAACTTTGACAAATAAAACAAATAAATACTTTAGTAAGTATTTAATGTATATACTAGATAGGAATATATTTGGTATAATCAAATACCAAATATAATCAAATAAGTCAAAGTGTACATTTTTATTTGGTTATTTGATTTTTTTATTATTAAAATATTTTTATTATACGTACCTTTTTAAAATAAAATAAATAAATTAATTAATTAAATAAATAAAATATTATAATACCAAAATAGTAATGACATTTAATGCAGTTGACTTTTCTGGATAGTAAATGTAGTAAATAGAATATCTTTTATATAATATAATACGGAAATAGTAATGCAATAAATGCTGTTGACTTTTCTGGCTACTTAATTTGGTAAATAGTACCCCCTTTAATATAAGTATAGATATTTAAAATAAAATAATTAAAGTTGATGTGATATAAAAGTATGAGAGAGCTAATTAGAAATGATTGATAGTTAAAATTATGTGAGTGATTGAATAGTGAAATTAAGTTGATTTGATATGTGAAGAAGATTGATTGCTATAAAGTATAGTGACAATATTGAAGAAAGTGAGG